CATTATTTTCTCAGGTATATAATTATTAAAATCTTTGTGCTTGCTAGCATTAGAAATTCTACAAAATTGAAGGTCTTTATTCTCCTTATAAAATAACATACAATCATTCTTCCTTTTGTCTTCCAAAAGGTACTCCGACACTAGAGCATACAGTCAATCCAAGCTTGCGAACATCTTCCACGCCAAAGAACTGGCAATGAGATTCAAGGTATTCATCTAATGCTTTGAAATCTCTCCCACCTTTCTCTTTTGTCAATGCTTTCTCTTTTGCTGATTAGGCTGAAGGAGTTGACATCACAGCCAACGCTGTTCATCCAGAGTTTATAATGACACCTTTGATGTGGTACACATTCTACATAATGAGTTTGTCTCTTTGCCTCATTTGTTTTCGGTTACTTATGGAACTTTGATCTTCATGCAGGGGTTCTCAAGTTCCTCTCCAGCTTCCTTTGGAAAAATGTCCCACAGGTAAGAAAAATTCTCTCAATTATCTGGAAGTTTTTTGTGACTAATACGTGATCGATCTCTCAGGGCGCTGCTACGACGTGCTACGCGGCTTTACATCCAAGCCTCAAGGATGTCACTGGGCAATACTTCGTGGATTCCAACAAATCCAACTGTAGCGCTTATGGCAGAGATCCCGAGCTCACTCACAAGCTATGGACCTTCTCCCAGGAGCTTATAGACAAGCATTTTCCATCCTAAAGGTAAAAGGTTGATAGTGCTAGAGAGCGAGTGAGCAAACAAGGACAACTCAGCTGTTTACCATAAAGACGAATATGATTTATAATAATTTGTATAAGGTAAATATAATTACTTCTACACCTTAAACACCAACATGCAACTCTCATTCCTAAATCCTAAACAAAAAACTTAATACAGATCTGAGGAAAAAAACAAATTAGGAAATTATGTGTTAAAAGTGGGTACATTATACTACTATTAGTAAGTTAGTTGATGTAAATATTGTTGAAATTTATGACTAAAAATTTTGGAACTACAAACCTTAAGAACTTACATTTTAGTCACAGTTTAAAAGTTGTAAATTGCAACTCTAATTAGCAGCCTATATGAACTTATCTAGCTTTAAAGAACAAATTATGATTTATATTTTAGTTGTAAAGGACAACTATAATTTCCAACTTAAATTTGAGTAACTATAAAGCTATCTTAAAATTTGTAACTAAAGCCAATTTGCTACATTTAAGTTGAGTTGAAAATTAAAACTTAGATTTCGAACAAACACAAAAATTTCGTTGGAAAAACATATCATTATAATGCTTTTATGTAGTAGTGTACGGACTGGCAGAAGTCAAGTCTAAGTCTTGACCTGCCGAAGTCCACATTGTATCCACCGTGGCCAAAAAATCACCACAAGAAAAAATTGTGCAAAGGTCTATGTTATGTAATATAGTTGATAGCCCAGTATACCAATGGCAAATCCCAAATCCCCCACTTTATTGACTACAAAGCTTTCATCAAGGTTCAATCGGCTCGAAGTCAAGTGTGCCAAGAATTGATTAACATTTGTGCGTGTAAACTCTGTGAAAAGAAGAACCTCATCTTTCATGATAGCTCCCACTCTTTGATGTTCTGATCCATGGCCATGTCTCTCGCGGATTTGCTGCTGCCTTTGTTTCGTACTCGTCTTTCTCACAAGATCCCGGTCACAGTGCCCCACAAATCCATCTGCAATCGTGAACGACACACAGGTTCTTCTCTCTCTCCGTGACAGGCTTGGCATCAAAGTGTGGAACGAGACTGCCGATCCAAGAGCATGGCGGGGAGTGGAGTGGAGCTCGGACAACCAAGTGGAGGGCCTCGCTCTGTCCAGGTTTAATCTCTCGGGAGTTTTTCCTGCCACCTGGGCCGAGCTTCCATCGCTGGCTCGCCTGGACCTCTCGCAAAACGGCCTCTCCTCGCTGGAAGTCCCTTGCAAAAATACGCAGCTCAACCTCCTCAACTTGAGCTCCAATTCCCTGCAAGAGTTCCCCGGAAATCTCTCCAACCTCAAGAGTTTGGAAAGCCTGGACCTCAGTGGGAACTTCTTAACAGTGGCCGGACTCCCAAAGTTTAGCTTGACGCTGCGATCGCTCAACCTGTCCATCAACAACTTAACTGGGAGCTTTTCCATTGGTGGTAACCTGGGACTGGAGGCACTGGAACTCTCGCAGAACGGACTCAGCGGCTCCATTCCAGAAACTTTCGGGGAGATGACGAACTTGAAGCGCCTGGACATATCGTATAACAGGTTTAGAGGAGATCTACCCGATATTTGGAGCAAGAACTTGGAGCTCAGGTACATGCGTATCTCCAACAATTCGCTCCATGGTGGTTTGCCACCGAGCTTGAGAAGGCTACGCAAGCTCTCTGTTTTACGCGCTGCATACAACTCTCTCTCCGGGCCACTGGAGCTGGAAGATGGCAACTTTGCAAGCATCGAGGTTTTGAACCTCGGGCTAAACGGGTTTAGCGGAACGATCCCGGCTACGCTGGGAAGCTTGAGGAACTTGAAGATCCTGGTTCTCACGGGGAATCATTTTAGTGGCGCCATACCACTGGAGCTTGGAAACTGGTCGAACATCAGAGAGATATGGCTTGACAGCAATAACTTGACTGGAACAATCCCAGGCGAGCTCTCGAAGCTCTCGCATCTCCAGAAGCTGGTTCTCACGGGGAATCGTTTTAGTGGCGCCATACCGTCGGAGCTTGGAAACTGGTCGAACATCAGGGAGATATGGCTCAACAGCAATAACTTGACTGGAACAATCCCAGGCGAGCTCTCGAAGCTCTCGCATCTCCAGAAGCTGGTTCTCACGGGGAATCGTTTTAGTGGCGCCATACCGTCGGAGCTTGGAAACTGGTCGAACATCAGGGAGATATGGCTCAACAGCAATAACTTGACTGGAACAATCCCAGGCGAGCTCTCGAAGCTCTCGCATCTCCAAAGGGTGGTTCTCACGGGGAATCGTTTTAGTGGCGCCATACCTCCGGAGCTTGGAAACTGGTCGAACATCAGGGAGATATGGCTCAACAGCAATAACTTGACTGGAACAATCCCAGGCGAGCTCTCGAAGCTCTCGCATCTCCAGAAGCTGGTTCTCACGGGGAATCGTTTTAGTGGCGCCATACCTCCAGAGCTTGGAAACTGGTCGAACATCAAAGAGATATGGCTCGATAGCAATAACTTGACTGGAACAATCCCAGGCGAGCTCTCGAAGCTCTCACATCTCCAGCAGCTGGTTCTCACGGGGAATCGTTTTAGTGGCGCCATCCCAGGCGAGCTCTCGAAGCTCTCGCATCTCCAAAGGGTGGTTCTCACGGGGAATCGTTTTAGTGGCGCCATACCTCCGGAGCTTGGAAACTGGTCAAACATCAGGGAGATATGGCTCAACGGCAATGATTTGACTGGAACAATCCCAGGCGAGCTCTCGAAGCTCTCACATCTCCAGCAGCTAGTTCTCAGCAGTAACGACATCGGTGGGGAGCTCCCTTCCGGACTCTCCAACTGCACTGAGCTCGTCGTTCTCTGGCTGGGGCAGAACAAGTTCTCTGGAAATCTCCCTGACAGCTTCGGGAATTTGAGCCGCCTGCTCCTTCTGTCGCTTTCCAGCAACGATCTTGTCGGTTCAATCCCGGCCATATTGCAAAACATGTCGTCTCTGCAGTTCCTCTTCCTCTCAAACAACAGCTTCAGCGGCTCCATACCGGACTGGCTTCCCAGGCTCACGAACTTACGAGCCATGGACTTCTCGGTTAACAGGTTCTCTGGGGAGATGCCAGAAAGCATTGGCCGACTGTTTGCCAACGTCCAGCTTTACAACAAGAACAAACGGTCTGTGATGATTCAAACCACGCGAGGACTCCTCTACAACGGCTTCGCCTTCCCGACCTCCATAGACTTCTCCTTCAACCAGCTGACTGGAAGCATTCCAGCTGCCATTGGCGACCTCTACAAGCTCCAGGTGCTGCACCTGAGCCACAACCAGCTAACAGGTCCCATTCCCGAGTCCCTGGGGAAGGCAAGGAATCTCTCCTGGGTGGGGCTCGCAAGCAATCGTCTCAATGGCTCCATACCATCGTCCGTGGCGGACCTCTCGTTTCTCACCATCTTCGACGTCTCCAACAACAGCCTGGTGGGACGGATACCTGACAGCCCACAACTCTCGTCCATGGACGCGGCTCTCTTCGCTGGGAATCACCTCTGTGGCTTGCCACTGACCAACACCTGTTCGAGCACTGCTATGCCGCCACATAAGCTTAGAACAGAGGGACAAGGTGGTAGCGAACAGGACCAAAGAGAGGTGATAGCACTTGTCAGCGTTGGCATCTTCGTGGCAGCCTTCTTCAACGCGTTCTTCTGGACCTACTTTGCGGCAAACCGCAGAGCTCATTCCCAGCTCTGTGGATGCTGGCAATCAAATCTCTAGCTCGTCCACCATGTTGCTGCCGTCCTTTCTACCTTCCAGTTTGTAATCCATCACGACTGCTTGATGAAGTGAACTCTTCTTATCCGCTTTCAAGGCCGCCTCCTGTATAGTCTTGAGCTTATCATGATCCCCCCACAGCCCCGCGCTCCGGTAGATGCTCGCCAGCAGAACGTACGCAGCCGAGTCATTCTCGTCGATCTTCGTCAGTGCCTCGAACGCACTTCCACTTACAGCAGGCCCCGAGGACGCTCCTCCAAACCACAGCATCCGCTCTCAAAGGCATGCTCTCGAGGACTTTCGGTTACGAGATCCACCAAGCTGCTGTAGTGATGAATCCCGCAAACAATGCCAGAGTCCGGGTCCATTGCCTGGAAAAACTCCCTGCCTCGTTCAACTAGGCCGCCGTGGCTGCAAGCAGTGATGACCGAGACAAACGTGATGGCGTTTGCTCGCACGCCATCTTCTCGCATCTCACGACAGGCTTCGAACATGCGCGACGTGTCACCCTGTTGGCCGAATCCTGTGATCAGTGCATTCCAGGCGACGATATCTCGGACTGCCAGAGATCCAAACAAGTGCTCGCACTCATAACTCCGCACTTCCTGTAGAAGTTTACTCCCCACAACTTGATCGTCTTCCAGCCCACGCCTGTAAAGCTCAGCCTGGATTTTCCTTCCACTCCAAGAGTTCCAGCCCGAGCTCACTCTCACCGTTGTCTATATATCCCTGTATCGAGCTCGTCCAAACGACAACGTCCCGGCTAGGCATGCGTTTGAAAACTGCTCGAGCTTTCACCATATCTCCACACTTGGCATACATGTCCACCAAGCTGCTCCCGACAAATCTGTGCTCGCAGCGTCCAAACTTCGCGGCGAGAGAATGAATCTCCATCCCCTTTTCTAGGCTCTGGATTCGCACTAGCTTTCCATCTTCTCGCGGAACAGGTGGCTCGGACGCTGAAAGGTGGATGCAGGCCATGAGCGCAGCAACAAACGTTCTCTCGTCCGGATCGTTCTCCCGAGCCATGCCAAAGAACACCTCCAAGGCCAGCTTGCTGTCTCCACTTACATCGGCCAGCCATGCCATCGAAGACCTTGCGAGCTTCCTCTAGCTTCTCACACTTCGCGTACATATCGATCAGAGTGTTCCCCACGAACACGTCCTCACAGCACCTGCTGTTTGAAGCTTCACCGTGGATAGCCACCCCGGTTTCCAAGCTCTTTCTCTTCACGAGTTTGCCGTCGACATCCACCGCTTCTTCTCGCATTGCCGAGCTCGCACAGGCGGCAAGCGCAGCAACACACGTCTGAGAGTTTGGACAGCACCCAGATAGCTTCATATCTTCGAAGAACACGAGAGCCAGCTTGCTTTCCCCGTTGTCCACAAAGCCTTGTATCAAGCTCGTCCAGAGCACCACATCACGACGAGGCATGCTCTCGAAAACCATCCGCGCGTCGACCATGCTCCCACACTTTGAGTACATGGTACTTGGCTGCTCCCCACGAAGATATCTCCACAGCAGTGGCTTTTCACAGCTCCATCGTGAACAGCGAGCCCCTTTTCCAGGCTCTTCGTCTTCACCATCTTTTGGTGGCCTCCTCTTTCACTGCTAGATTCGCACAAGCCTTGGCAGCAGCAACGAAAGTCCAAGACTTTGGCGAGCAGTCCATTTTCCCAAAGAACTCGAGAGCGACCTCACTTTCTCCATTCTCTACGTAGCCCAGTATCAACGCGTTCCAGGAGACCACGTCTCACTGTGACATCTCATCGAAGACCGATCGAGCATCGAGCATGATGCCGCACTTAGCTCGAGAGGAAAACGTCTTCGCTGCAAGACGGTCCCATCTGCTTGGCTTGAGAATGGATGCCTCTGCCGGTCTCGAGACTAGCCTCCTTGACGAGCTTCCCATCGACCAAAACAGCGTCTTCCTTCGCCGCGAGGCTGCTACAAGCCTTTGCCGCGTCCTGGAGTTTGGCTTGCAGCCCGACCGCCTGGCTTGCATCCTCTCGAAGAGATCCAGAGCCACATCACTCTCGCCATTGGAGACGTAGCCCAGCATCAAGGACATCACGTTTGGGTGAAGAATGCTGTGGAACAGTCCTCCATGCTGCCGCATTTCGCGTACGTTTTTCGTCCACCAGCGCATTGACAACAAGCTGCTTGTTCTCCGCCGCCTGGCCGTGGATCGCCCAGGCGCAAATTGCCCTTGCGCAAATCCCTTGTGACCTTCAACGCCGACACCTGCTGATCGGGCGCCCGCGGCGGCGCTGCCGAAGGAGCGAATGCCGGTGCGGCGCATCGAATCGCTGCCATCGCCAAGTCTCATCCATCGCAAGAACCCTAAAAATTTGCTAGCAACATGGAAATTCAATCAAGGCCGTCGATTCAAGAATATCTGACGGTTGGAAAGAATCGCAATCCCAGGCTTGTAAGCCGGTGTCCATCTCCGCTCGCCCTCGGAGTTAAGTCGATCGGAAACACCGCTGAAAACAGGAACTATGGCGATCAAGCGTAATCGCTCTTAAGACTCTTACCTGTTGAGGCAGCGATTCCTGCTACTCCACCGGAGATCAAGCTCGTCACCATCCTACTCGGGCCCATAGTTGCCAGAAAACGTATGAAACTAAAAAAACACCGTTCTAAACTCCCAACGCGTTTGCACTATTTGTGAAAAGAGACAAAGGTTTCTTTAGGGTTTCTTTAGGGTTTCTTCAGGGTTCATGTAGTCATGGCAGGAATTGGAGGACGCCGCAAATGCTAGAGCTGGAAGCATGTGATATGAGCAGAGCGGCACTGGACATGTAAGTATTGTTATGAGATTCACACTGGGGGAGCGGAGCGAGTGCGAGCACATCTTGCTAGAGTTCAGGCAAGAGGTGTGAAAACGTGCAAGGCAATGAGGGAGATCCCTTATGAAGTTCTTAAAAAACCTCACAGCAGTTTTTCCGATTTCGAGCTAGCAGACCCAGCAGATGCCAATGATGGGCATCTGCTGCAGCAAGCCGCACAGGGTTCAGGGGGGCAGCAGAATCTATGGTGGCAAGCACGGAGAACTGGTCCAGTGCTGGGACAAGCAGAACAGTGAAACAGCTTTTTCTTTCATTTGTTTTAGTATGTTATTCCGTTGGGTTTTATAAACTTAATATCAGATTAAAGTGTATTTAGTAAATATTAGTGTTTTTTTAATCATTTTAGGCTTTAACATGTAAATGTTTGATTGTCCTGAAAAAAACGTTTTAAACGGCGTTTAAACGTGGACGCGTTTGAACGTTTGCACGTCTAGCTGCAACTATGCTCGGGCCTGAAAGTAACCATGCAATGCCAGGAGGCCTAAGCATGTCAAAACTGTGTTTACCAATGCGATGGTGCTCCGTGCCTGTAAAGCTTTTCCAAAAATTTCTCACTCTGAAACTAAAAATAATCCAACTTTGAGCGTTCCAGTAGTTGTAGAGAGTGTCATACAAGCAGAAGTTTATCCCAATCGTTGGGCCTATGGCAGGAGTCAAGTCTGTGGCATTTGGCAGGGAGGAAAACCAATACCAAAAGTGTCAGTCAGAGTTCCTTATGAAGGCTAAGAAAGCTCTCCTGTTGATGGATTGTGGAAAGCGTGTGATAGATGTGGACACACAGCAACATCTACACGCAAGAGCACAAAAGCTGTAAAGGGAACAACTAACAACAAAGATCACAAAGCTCAAGGTGAGGAAATTCAGGAGAAGATTCCAGACCTGAACATGTAACCACCTTGCAGGTTCCAAACTGACAGTTGTCAAACCAGTGTAACGTGAACATGACCCAGCAGGAGCAGTCTCCAGCATCCCTACCGCACACAGCAACACCAACACAACCAGCTCTCAATGCTGACACCGACAACATGCCACATCACGGCAAACACCACAGTTGAGAGCATCCCGAGCAAGAGTGATGCTGCAAGCCTGAGCTTACACTGGATCTTAAGCTTGGCATTTCTCCAGTTTGTGGACAAAATGCAATGTCTCCAGTCAACACCATAGATGCCAATACCAGCAGATTTTGCAAGACTTTTCCACGACAAACAGATGAGCATTTTCATAAGAGACAAAGTCCAATCAACACCTTTGTCTACCAGCCCCTAGATGTGAAGTTCACGAAGATCCAGAACCATATTCTCCAGCTCAAGAGGAGCATTCAAGGTACAACTTTCTAGGAATTTGTATGCACAAAGACTTAGCACATGAATAAAAAACTCCCCAAGGAGAATGCAGAGCTTCACAATGAGATCTGACAACTCAAGGTGAAGCAGCTATAGGGATAGGGTGCGCTACAACAGAAGAACAAGTTCAAGAATGAGCTCTCTGGAGTCATAGTAGCAATAAAACAGCCCAATGCTATGGAGAAATGAGAGCTTCAAAATGAAACTCAACTCAGTTATGGGAGAAAGTGGAGCATAGAAAATCAACATTATATTTAGAAACATCATCCTAAGTCTTGAAATTTAAATCTTAAGACTCAAGAACAGAAATGAGTGGCAGTTGCCAGAACTTATTAAGGAGGTGAGTTAACACTCAAACTCTATCCCTTTCTTTTGTACTCCAACTTTCCATCATCAATGCACATCTATTTGTGCAAAATCTACAGTACTCAAGTGATGTTAAGTTTATCTTTGCTCATGACTTCAACAAAAGCTTTCATAGGGATTGAAGGACTCAAGTCATTCCTTTTTTACTTTTTATATGTTTATTTGTGTTTAACTGAAGCAAAATGCAAAATCAAGTCAAACAAGTGTAGTAGTAAGCATCCACTTTACTCTTACCTTCTTTTATCTTTCACTCTTATTTTCTTTTCCTCTTTCTTTTTTTTCTAGTACAAGCTTTTAGCATACAGACTTTTACCCAAGTTTCTAGGAATGGCTTGTTTTAACATTTAAAGGAATGATTGCAAAACATATAAAATTTTAGCATTTAGATTGGGATGGATATTTGCCGTTTCTTTGGTATATGTATATCACAGGGTATAAAGTTCCATTGGTGTTTCACTTTATAAACTTTTATGTGGTCATTATTTGATATTACTAATGGAGTTGAGTTTACCTTCGTGATTGCTATAAAGTACCAATACTAAGTCTTGGGATCAACATTTGATGAGCATTTTTCCATTCATTCAAGTGGAGTTTATTGAGCATTTAGGCTATGTATAAGTGGGATAATAACAACACAACAACTTCCATCATCATCCACCAATGGAGTATAAAGTGGATGATTTGGTGTTAATCCATTTTCCTAATATTACAATACATGGTTTGTGTAAGGGGCTCTTTATTCAGTGGAAGAGATTATATTAAGTGTTTTGGTAAGTTAAACTGCATGTTTATAAAGCTTGGCAAAACATTCAATAAACTAATCCTCCAGAAATTATATATATGCAATAACTTAAATGTTTTGTATAAAGGGATCAAGCACTACCTATAAATCCACCAGTGCTTCCTCCTGATGTTCCTTTAGATCCTAGTCTCTCAACCTGAAAACCTTAATTACCTTTCATCCTTCTAAAAGAATAAGATAATATGAGGTCTAAGTGTATAGCTATGATATTGTATATAAATATTAGTATAATTTTCAAACCACTCACTTTTGTATATAAACTATGGTTTTTGGGCTAATTAAGATGCATATTTCTATATGCACTAAGAGTGCTACTTAAACTATAAGTGAGGTTAGAAAATAAACCCTTTTATGGCATCTTTCTTAATATTAGATCAAGAGGGTAATAAATAACTCAATGAAGTTATCAGTCTTTATATTTTTTCTTAGTGAAAATCTTATAACTTAATATACATATCTAATCAATATAATTCATTGGGAGTAGGTAAAAATACCATAATATAACTAGTAAATTTTAGAAATATAATAAATTTACTTTTAAATAGGACAGAAAAAAAAATTAAGTAGAGAATGGATAAAAGTGAAAATACAAGTGATAGAGAAGAAACCATTGATATTTTATCCACTTGAAAAGTTCTTCACCACTTAAGAAATAATAAGCTTAAATAGAATATTAATTATATAGTATTTTAATTCCTTTTGAAAAAATAAATATCCTCAATGTTTTTAAGGGGAGAAATTTAGAAGCTGTAAGCTCCTGAATTTAGACTTCCTAGAAGGTCATCTAGCTTAGTACTATTCAAACCCAAGAACACTTAATACAAAATATCCCAAAACTTTTAATCGATTGGAAAAAAGGGTACACTCTTATTTATAGGCCCTTTCCTTTTATATTTGAACCCTATGAATTGTCTCTCTCTTTAGTTATTAAGAATCCAGTACACTTCTTTGCAAATTCATGCCCTTGTGAATGGAAGTTGAGAGCAATAGCTTTCCAAAGAGCCCTGCTCTTTTGACACCCTACCCTTTGGGTTGAACCTAGCTGGAGCAAGTTTAATTTGCCAAATATCAATTAACATATAGTGCAATTCCATTAACTAACCAACAATATAGACCGTTTCTTGAGTCATTTTTTTTGGTTGCATTTTAAGTTACCAAATGGTATTACTTAAAAAACAAACAAGTATATTTCTAGGGGCAATTTGTAATGCATGTGGTTTTTACCTTTTATCTTATAGTGATTTACTATAAGATAAAAATGAAATGGAACATAAACCCTCTATGTGCCACATGTCATCCATAGGACCTTGAGTTTCAGGGCTTTGGGCTATTAAACAAAAGAATAATGGCAAACTCTTAAGTATGGACCTAAGGAGTGAAGGTATTATAGCACAGAGTGACTTGAAACAGTTCTAGAGTATTTAATATCCTAATGCTAAGACTAACATATAAAATAGAGTCAAATGGAGTTTAATATTATTTCAACATACTAATGGCATAATACAAGGATATAGGTACTCCATCAACTAACATCATATGAAACTTAAGCTTAAACTCAAGCCAAATGCAGAACAAGGACAAACACGCAAGCAAGAGTTAGATTATACCTCAAGTTAACCAGCCATGCCTAATCTACCCACTATCCTTATTATAT